TCTTCTTCTTCTTCTGCTGACAGATCTTCCACTGCTACCTCACAAGACCCTGAAAAAGGTAAATAATTCTTTCTGGACACAAAGTCTGCACCTCAGAGCTGTCATGCATGAAATATTGTAAACTCTGTACCTGCTACAGAGTTTATCCAGACAGAGACGAGGATTTTAACTCTATGAAATGTCCCAAATGCTACAAAAACTGCTCACTGTTGTTTAAAAATGACGCTAAAGATAATAAATAGGATTTAAAAAGTGTTGCTAACTGGGCTTTGTGTGTTTGCAGATGCAGAGCTAATCAGCTGCATCAAGGATCAGGACCTGAACAGGGTGAGTCTGCTGCAAATAGTGATCACTATGATTATTTGAGTTGATTTGAGATATTTTTTTACAATTTGAACTTTTAGTTTTAATACTTTAAATGCATATTAATACCAAAGTAAAGCTGTTAATGCAAGACTTCTAACAAAGAGATATTACAGTCTGGAATCAGTACTTTTACTTCAGTGAAGGATCCGTGTAAAGCTGCGTATGTGAGGAAGCAGACGGTTTAAAGCAGCAGCACTGTTTGTGGTGATGCTGACCACAGTTGTGCTGCGTTGTTGTTCAGCTGACGGAGCTCCACCAGCAGGGGGCGGACATCCTGCTGCAGGACGCAGACGGCTGCACGCTGCTGCATCACGCCGTGGAGGCCGGCTGCAAGGACATCGTCAAGTACCTCATTGAAAACGGTGAGAGACTCGCGGAGCCGCATTCTGGCGCTGCTTGCACTTAAAATGTGAAGCAAACATGATCGATGCGATTCCACTTTGCTCTGTGCTGTTTTAGTGTGAGCAGAGTTCTTCAGAGCTTTAAAGTTGTGAGATTCCTTTCCTAAGACACTAAAGACAGTTTTTCTCTCTACGAAGAGAATTAGCAGATCACTGATGAGCCACATTGTCAGTGTTTCAGTGATTTATAATTATATGAACTTACTTGGTCATTTCTCCACAACTCCTCATTTTGTTGAAGTCTTGGACAGCTGCAGACAGCATGGATGTGTAGTTGATGTTATCCTACCGTCTAGTCTGCTTGGAGAAATCAGATTGTTGTCTTGTGCTCTGTTGCCCTTGTAGTGTTATTGTTGCTTAGACACAAACATCTAGGGCTGAACAATATGTAAAAAACCCACTCATATTGCAATTATTTTCAACAAATATTACAATATGAATCAAGATTGTAGTGTGCAATTGGGATTTTTCCATGTTATTCAACATCCTGTGCTGATGTTGCTGTTTGTACTCACAGAAACATGTTCCAGGTCTCAAAGGTACACGTTGCATAACACGACAAGGATGTAAGAACAGTGTGTTTTATGTAACACCTGTACACAGCCTGAGGTAGTAAAGTGTCACAGGTGTCTTTGTCACGGTGCCTCTTGACTAACTAAACCCCCACAATGCTCTCCGCTTGCAAACATGAAAACTGTCCATCTTTTCTGATGTTAGTCTCACTTTGTCAGACCATTCGGTAGCACATGATGGTGTGGCTGCATATCATTCTGCTGTAGGGGGAAAAAAAACACACTGGACTGTTGGTGTTACTGTAAACCAGGGGTCTCCAATCCTGGTCCTCGAGAGCCCCTATCCAGCATGTTTTAGATGTTTCCCTCTTCCAACACACCTGATTCACATGGTCAGCTCATCATCAAGCTCTGCAGAAGCCTGATAACGATCCTGATCATGTGAATCAGGTGTGTTGGACGAGGGAAACATCTAAAACATGCTGGATAGGGGCCCTCGAGGACCAGGATTGGGCACCCCTGCTGTAAACCAATCACAGCTCTCATAGGAAGGCTGAACCGAAACATGTGGCTTTGGTGTTCCCTCAAAACAGCGACAGGTGGAGTTAACGTGGTGGAACATTTGCACGTTCATCAGAATGGATCATTTAACAAAAAATACCAGCAGGGCTGCTTTACATGATCCACATCCTCCACAAAACTTTACATTATTAGTGTGACAGGTTGCTTCAGGACTATACCTACATCCTACATCTGATGAATCAGACTAATACGGTACTAGACAGTGAGAGGCTCCATCTAGTGGCACAACCAGGTACTACAGCAAATCAATAACGCTTAAGGTGTGAATTATCTGAGACAGTCGTATCGGGTATCGGCACATAGTAAATGACTCGGATCGTATCAAAAAGACTTAATGAGGACATTCCTAATGAAAATAATGATGTAGTCTTTGCTGCAGTCTGAACCAGACAAGGATGTTCTTTTACATATGGAGGATATGATTTCTACAATTTCATTTAGCAGACGCTTTTATCCAAAGCGACGTACATCTGAGAGCAGATACAACACAAGCAAGGTTTGTAGCCTCTGTAGTGCTACAGCAGCATTTATAATGATAGGTTATGACACATTTTACCTCAATCAAAAGGCCTAGTTTAACATATCCAGACCTATCTCCACAGTGCTGGGTCAGTATTGCAGGATGGTCTGACTGCACCTCATTCTGCTATAGGGGCTAAAAAATTCTGTGGTTTGTTTGTATTTCTTTAAACCAATTACAGTTGTTGTGGGCTGAGCTAAGCCCAGGATGCAGTGATGATGCCCCAGCAAAATAGTGAATAGTTTTGTTGGAAAATTTGCACAAAGGAAGATGAGAACTTGTCATTTTCATTGTGTAGGCTGCTGCTCAGAGGTTGTAGTGAAGGGATTTTGAATACGTTAACACAAAGATAGCAAAAGAAAAGGAAAAGTCTGCGTGAAATGTGAGGTTGGAATGTCAGACTTCTACTTGGAGTCTACATCCATTCAGTCAGACTATCAACAGTATAAACACATGTACATGTAGTTTTCCTGTTTTAAAGGAATCAGACATT